CAGACTGCAATCACAGGACCTTTCAGAGTATTAGTGCAGACCCTGCTGACTGAGGGCCCAGGACCAAGTGCACAGCTGAGCTGAGGTCCAGGAACAGGAAGCAGAGGGGCGGGTTTCACCCCGCTCAGCTAGCGATGTTAATCTACTAGCTGGTGTCCTAGGGCGGCCTCAGTCTCCAGGATCTGATGAGACAGCACTACAGTCTGAGTTTCTGTTGGGGCCTGAGGAGAAGTGGGGTAAGCCCAACTAGGCACCCACAGCTGTTCTTGCTGTCTGTAATCGCCATCTTCCGCCATTGCTAAGAATCATGGGAAGGAAGCCCAGTGGTGCTGTGAGTTGTGAAACCGTGTCCTCATGATGGCAGTAGAGCTCCACTCACGAGCTTGTGAGCGATTGTCCCCCGCCCTTCGTGTCTGAAAAAAAACCGATTAAAGATAGTACCAAGGAGTGTGAATGCCCGGGGTTTTGCTCAGTTCTGAGTGTTTTGAAAAGTATTTAATTTTTGTCTTGTTTTTCAGGTGAAGCCAAACTAAAGCCCAAATTTAGGAGAGGTCATAGGATGCTTTTCCTTCTCTCATGTAGGGTGTTTCCCATTTCCTCCATTTCCACTCTGTTCAGGTGCCTAGTTTTATTTAAAAATTTGATACCCTTGTTTCTTTTAATTTTGATGCAATAAAGATGTGGTATGAGGTTTAGAAGGGAAGTAACCTGCAGTGAAGTGAGCACAAGTAATTCAATGGCTATACATGAGGGCTGCAATGTCTGAGTTACAAGTCACAGCCTCAGGGTTTGATCCTCACTACTGGACATGGGGAGCTAATTCACTTCTAAGTTATGTGCATTGGAATTTCCCACTTCCTAATATTGTGAGAACTATTTGTGGCATTAAATCTGATTCATAATATGATTGGGATGGAAATTTAGAAAAAAATTGGTGAAATTAATAATGAGAATCCATTATTATATGAAATAATTTTATTAATATGTTTTGTTTTGTTTTCTTTGCTTTTGTTTTTTTGGGTTTATTTTTTTTTTGTTTTGTTTATTTTTTTATTTTTTCCACAAAACAGGGTTTCTCTGTAGCCCTGAGTGGTCTAGAACTCATTCTAGACCAGGGTGGCCTGGAACTAACAGAGATCCACCTGCCTCTTCCTCTCCTTCCACAGTGGTGGGATTCAAGGGATGAGCCTTCCACCACTGCCTGTCTTGAGTTATTTTTACAGAATATTTTTTCCATGTCTGTATCTATTCTGTCAGGTGAGAGAATTAATTCAATTATAAATATCTTTCTAGCAATGTCTAAGAAGAAAAGTTGGCCAGCTTGAAGCCTGCATTTATTTGTATTATAAACTCCATATTGTAATCAAGTGTTACCTTATTGAACTGTATATATTTCTATAAGTCCAGTTTGTGCACACACACAGATAAACACACACAAGAACATATGTTCCACAAGAAAGTCTAAGGGGTTGAAAAATGTTTCATCAGCTTCGTCTTGCAGTAGTTGGGAAATAACAGAGAGACCCACAGTGGACAGTGTGGCGAGAGTGAGAGTCTTGTAGAACACTTGCTCATGAATGGCCCCTCAGGTTCCTGGGAGCTAAGCAGATGATGACCCTTAAGAATGTAAGAGTCAGAGGGCATGCATAACACCAAGGAAACTGTCTTCTAGACATAACAGGGCTGACACACATCAGAATTCTCGGAGAACCCACAGCATGCGCAGGGCGTACAGAGGTTGAAGATGTGATCCCAGCTCTGATAAGTCTTTTGTGTTTGTGTTATAGTTTCTGATTTTATATTTTTATGGATTTTGTATTTGTATGTCTTTCTGTGTACCTATGTGTAATACTTGTCCTTTGTAAAGGTAACCTTTATTCTTCTGTATGATTGTTGTCTTGGGGGCTTATTACCTTCAGTCTGTTAACCTAAGCCTAGTCCTTGAACCTTCTAACTTCTATACAGTCTTATTGGGCCTAGAATGTTTTCAGCCTCTGCGACTTGCTGCTGAATAACTCACCCCTTCTAGGTCTTTCTGATCTCTGGCTGGTTCATCAACCCTGCTTTTCTGGCTCAAACTCCGCTCCAAGCTGACTTAATTCAATCTGGCTTTTCTCTAGGTTTCTTACTGAATCGCTGTGCTTGGCCTCACACTAACTTTGATGATCTGTTTTAACCTTTGGGCTCCTCATTCTCTGGCTTCTTTAACTGTATCTAGTTTGTCCTCACTCTGCAAGATGTGTGCTAGGGCTGAGCCCTACCATGACAAGGTCTTGCCAGGTCGCATTCTTCGGGTTCACAATGTGATCAAATATCCTGCAGTAGTGCTTTTCTTTTTATTTTTTAAACTTCTGATTTGTTTGTATTTTACACCCCTTCACCCATTTTTAAAAAGATGGGATCTCTGTAGTCCAGGGTGACCTAGAACTGAAAGATCCGCCTGCTCTGTCTCCTGAATGCTGTAATTAAAGGAGTGAATCACCATATAGCCCGTGTTTGATTTTTAAAGTGAGGCAAGAAAGGAGGCCTGGAGGTGGAGGTAGGTGGTTAGAGAAGATGAGTGGGGAAGGGGAAACCATGATCAGAATATATTGTGTGAAAAATTATTGAAGGATGAGCAAAGTGTCTGTGTCCTAGTGGGAATTCATGCCATATGCAGAGAGCACAGGTTAGAAAGTGGTGTCTGATGTGAACTGTCTCTGCCTCTTCTTAGGTCTTTAAGCAAAGAGCTGCCAACAATTCAACAAAGAGTATGAGAAATGGAGGCGAATTCCAGTGTCTACTGTGAGTACAGTGTTTCAGACAAGATCTGCCAGAAGGGGAGATCTGAATGTTTAATGTGAATGCAATTTAACTCCTGAGAAAATATTAACAATGAGGTGGTTGGTGAGGCCAAAGTTTGGTTTTACTGAGAACCAAACACTTTGGTTAGACCAAGAGCACAATAGTTTGATCTTGTCCTTTCCAACTGGATGGTATATAAGGCAGCCATATTTCTTGTGGGTTTTCTTTTTTTCCAAACAAGAAGGGAGGGGGAAGACATTACAAAATGGCGCTTGTATAAATATGAAGTATAACACTGCCACCATGAGGAAGCAGTTTCAAAACATATAACGCCATTTCAGCTTCCTGCCCTCTTCCGTAGAGCAGTGATTCTCAACCTGTGGTTTGCATACCAGATGTCCTGCCTATCAGATAATTACATTATGATTCATAAGAATATCAAAATTACAGCCGTGAAATTGCATCGACAGTAATGATTTCTGTTTGGGGGTCAGCACAGTATGAGGAACTGTGGGACAGGGTCTTGGCATTAGGAAGGTTGAGAACCACTGACTCGGGTTAAGGTTGGTCTGTAGAGGTTTGGAGAAGCTAGTGCTAGAAGCTGGCCTTCCTTAAATTCCTCTAAGGCCCTAGGAGAGCCTGTATGCTCTAGGTGTTAACAATTATCAAAGAAGTTATATTTACTGTCTGAAATAGTTTATGCTGTTTTCTATAAGAACCTTTTAATTGTTCCTGAGTACATCAAAATAAATACTAGATGCCTTGTGATTGATTGCATGACGACTGCTTATTCGATATGACTCCTTAATCTTCATAGTTTCTCTTTTAAAAAGTACTTGTTTATATTTTGAATGCATGCACAGAAATATTTGAGATGATCAGTTCAACAACTAATCAGGGTAATCTTGAGGCTGTGCAGTGAAAGTATCCTGGGGCTTGTACCATACATGAGGCCTTCTGCTTGCATCCTATCTAAACACTTCATCAACAGTCGAGCCAGCCTGCAATCCTAGCAGTAGAAGGTGGAGGCAGGATGATCAGAAGTTTAAAGTCATAATAGGCTACTTTGGGTCTTTTAGACCACTTGGGCTTCAAGACTCCATCTCAGGAGACTAAGGGAAACCTAGGCTGCTAAAGAAGCAATAGAATATAGTTAAGAACTGTTGAACTAGTTTTTGTTGCTCTCTTTGTCAATACCTTAGTTATGAGAAGTGTTTATAGAAATCCATTAGTCTATAAGAATTATTGAGTTAACAGAAGAATCTTTTGCAGAACCTCAGACCAGATCTGTTATTAGAGATGCCTTCCTCTAAGCACCAAATTTAAATTCCAGAACACTCTTCTCCCTTTTTATTTGGAACGTCCATTTTGTGTCTGAGACAGAGATTTGATGCAGTGGCAAAGAATGGGGCATAGAGTGCTGGGCAAACAGAGGTCCAGCTGCATGAGAAACACCTCCTAGAGGAAGCAGGGAACATAGTTGATTTCTTCCTTCCTTCCTCCCTCCTTCCTTCCTTCCTTCCTTCCTTCCTTCCTTTCTTTCTTTTTGTTTTTGTTTTTTTGTTTTTGGGTTTTTTTTTTGTTTGTTTGTTTTGGTTTTGGTTTTTCAAGACAGGGTTTCTCTTTATAGCCCTGGCTGTCCTGGAACTCACTCTGTAGACCAGCCTGGCCTCAAACTCAGAAATCTACCTGCCTCTGCCTCCCAAGTGCTGGGATTAAAGGTGTGTGCCACCACTGCCCAGCACACCTTTGATTGTTAAGAAATCAATTCTTTTGCTAAAAGTTTGGTTTCAGATGAAAAAAACAAAAGAATAATTAGACCCTTCAGAAGATCCTATAGAAGTCAAAACAGTTGTGTTCCCTGGCGCCTTTTTCTCCAGGTGATGTTTCTCAGGTAGGAAGGGCACTAAGATGATGTTTTTGACCACAGCTAGTGCATTACTAACGCCACAAGGATGTACAATTGCCAAGAAAGCATGATTTCCCATGAAGCTTCTCAGTGATGGGGAAAGTGTAGGCTGGAGAAGGCTAGGGTCTTGAGCTTGCTCTGTTGACCCAGCTAGGCAGCAACACTCCATCCTTCTGTAGGGTGGGAATCCCACATAAACCCCAGCATGCACAGGTCCAAGATACAATTGTAAAGTAAGAATTTAGTATAAAGCCAGGAAGAAGCATGGCTCCAGAAGTGGCTCATCAGTTAAGAGTATTTCTTGCTTTCCCAAAGGACCTGGGCTTGGTTCCCAGCACCCTAACTGAAATGAATGGGGTCTCAACTTCCTGTTAAATGTAGTGTCAAGGAAACCAACACCCCCTTTTGGCCTTTGTGGTTACTTGCACACACATAACATACACTCATACACCTAGGCATATACACATGCATACACACATATAAAATCTTCAAAGAAAGCATGAGGCTATAAACCTGTATTCTGATTTTAAAAGTTTGTATTGTATATGAGTAGAAACTTACTAATGTATTAAATAATACATTGGTTTTTTTCTTTGTTTTTTTTTTTCTTTTTCTTAGTTTCCAGGCTAACAATTACTCATTAGAATATGCAAGCCTCAAACTCTGAGCTATAACAATTCCTTAGCCTTGGCTATGTTATATATACTAAGCTCCAACCTTCAAAATGAAAGACATGAAAATCATTGTGCAACATAATTCATTTCAATGCACATTTAATGAGTGCTTCATTATCTATAGTGAGCTGTGTGTCTAGGCATTGGGTGAGTTGCAGTCAATGTGGAAAATTCATCAGTGTGAATATTAAGTTTAACGAAAGTACTTTCTGGATCCTGTGTATGGTGTATATCTTAAGCATCAATGAGGAAAAATAACACTGATGCCCAACTGAAAGCATGATGAAGAATTAAGGGATCCAAAGTGAAACCAGGGGAAACTGTTAGACTGTTGGAAGCACTGGAACACTGGAAATGCTTGGGTTTCTGGAGCATTCAATCTTCAGCAGGCCCCAGATCTTCCTTACAGGCCACATCCTGCTGTCCACACAGGGCCTGTTACATCCATCACGACTGGGAGTATGAAACCTAGGGAACAAGTGAATCTGGTAGACAACCTGTGTTCCTGGTGCCCACTTTGCTCCAATCCAGGTCCTGAATTAGCTGTAATTTCATTTCTTACCTAAAACTGAATGCTGAGACTTGTCCCCGAGATCCAAAGACAATCAGGTACCATGAGAAAGGACTGGACCTAGAATGCTGCTGGCTGAAGAAGAGGAGAAATGCAGGATTGTCATTGACTAGGCCTTCACTTCTGGCTCTCAGGTCTTCAGAGAGGATGCACAAGAAAGGAGGGCAGGTGCTTCAGACACTTTCAGTCTGCCCCAATCTGTCTGGCTCTCTTTTGGTGCTTGAGGTCTGATACAGGTCCTTATCCAATAGATGTGGTATCAACATAAAATTAAAATGGAATCTGCACTATCCAGATCAATTTTTCTCACAATATAGGAAAAATGCAAAGAGGGCTCCCATTTATTACAGTTTGTAAAGGCAGGAGGAGAGAGCTGTAGTCAGGACACCATTGGTTCTCGGGGTCAACACTGCAATTATGCAGAAAATGTTTCCCACATACCCACACTTGTACACCTCGTCCTGAATCTTGTTGCCAGCAACTTTGAAGGGTAGGGAAGGATCAGGGGGATTCTTAAATGGGAAACCCTGCCGTTTACTGATTTTTTTTTCCCCCTCCTTCTGTCGTAAGACTGCAATCACAGGACCTTTCAGAGTATTAGTGCAGACCCTGCTGACTGAGGGCCCAGGGCCAAGTGCACAGTTGAGTTGTGGTCCAGGAACAGGAAGCAGAGGGATGGAGGAACAGGAAGCAGAGGGGCGGGTTTCACCCTGCTCAGCTAGCGATGTTAATCTACTAGCTGGTGTCCTAGGGCGGCCTCAGTCTCCAGGATCTGATGAGACAGCACTACAGTCTGAGTTTCTGTTGGGGCCTGAGGAGAAGTGGGGTAAGCCCAACTAGGCACCCACAGCTGTTCTTGTTGTTAGTAATCGCCATCTTCTGCCATTGCTAAGAATCATGGGAAGGAAGCCCAGTGGTGCTGTGAGTTGTGAAACCGTGTCCTCATGATGGCAGTAGAGCTCCACTCACGAGCTTGTGAGCGATTGTCCCCCGCCCTTTGTGTCTGAAAAAACGGCAAGGGTGGCTGTCCTGAGTTTTGTTCATACTTGATACTTTGAACAGTATTTTATTTTCTTTCATTTCATTTTATTGATCTTGTATTCCATGTGAAGTGAATCTGAGGCCTAATTCTACCTACTTTGAAGAGTCCTTGGACTCTTTTCCTTCTGTTAAATAGGATATTTCCTTTCTGAAAAGATGGAATTCACAGAGAAATGCACCAAAGAATATGGCTGCCTAAAGTTTTGTGGATCTTGAAATAGTTTCCTCAGTTTGCCTAGGTCTGAGTACGTGGAAAGGTATTTTTTGTGTGTATCCTGTTTTCCACATTCAGCCAAACTGAAGCTCAGATTTAGCAGAGATTTTAGGATTCTTCCCTCTGCTATGGAGGGTATTTCCAGTTTCGTTCATTTTCACCTGTCCAGGAGCATAGCGTTATTTAAATTTTTGCTGCTATTTATTTCTTGTAATTTCTATACAAGTATGCTCTGAGGTTTAGGAGAAGATAAATATGAAGTGTCATAGCCGAGGGGTTTGAATGCTGTGTGCCCTAGGTCCTTGGTTTGATCCTCAGTAACTTGAGTATGCAACTGTCAGGTTTTCAACTTCAAGTATTTTGAGAAATATTAACGATAGTAAATCTTACTTGTAATATTTAGATGGAATTGTAGGTAAGATTTAATGAGATTAATATGAGATCTCATTTTTTATGAGAACTGATTAATTATTTTTAGTGAATGTTTTCTATGTGTGTGAAGCTATTCTGCTGGCTAAGCACATTTACTGAAAAATAAGATACATTTTCAGTGATTTCATGTTGCCTTGGGACATCAGATTTCACAATGTCTAAGAAAAATTGGCCCTCCAATAGTCCCAATAATGTTTAATATGTGAAAGAAGCATATGTCTTGCATTTCCATATACCATCTTAATAATAATATATATGCTTGTGTAAGTTTTGATCACTTTATAGTATCTATAATTTGGACATTGTTTTAAAATGGTATTTATTTAAAGACTTTCCTGTCGTGATTTTATATATATATATTTCATTAATTCATGGTATAGCTCATTCAGGAGTTTTTTATTTTAATATTGTTTTCAAGTAGTATACAAAATAATAGGTTTCACCAAGGCACTTTTTATATATACTTTGCTCTTGTTTTTCTCCCTCTGAGCCTGTCTTCCCTGTCCCCCTGCTGACATTCCTTTTACCCCTCCCTCTTCCAATAAGTGCCATTTTCTCTTTCATGTCACAGTAGTCCATTTCTCACTGAACACGTCTCCCCCCTCAGAGCTTCTCTGTTCCTCTCATGATCCCATTTCTAATTTCATGATCCAGTTACAACACCAACTTACACATAGACAAATGTGTGTGCATGCTCACATGAATGCAAACTTTAACTCTGCATATGAGAGAGAACAATTTGTATCTGTCTGTCTGAGCCTGAGATTTTCTTCACGCTGATTTTCTTGTTCTATATATTATTTTCCATGTGTTTCTATTACTTCATTTTTTCTTCATGGCCAAAAAACACTCCACTTTCCATATGTATTTTCATTTTCCACATGTCAAATCTTGTTCACACTGCAGCAGTAAACATGCAAACATCTTTGTGGCAGAACCCAGAGTCCTTTGACGATTCAAGATATGGTCACATTTTACTATTGTCGCTTAGTTCTGACATTAATTTTCACCTGATGGTATTATTATTATACCCAGATATGTAGTGTAAAAGCAGGGACTATTTGACAAATATCCAAAGTAAAAGGATGTATTTTAAAATCAGTCTTCAGTGCCTGAAGTGAAATCTCAGTAGTTAAATGTACAGTTTTCTCTTGCAGTGAACACAGATTATAGCCTCAGCACCCACATGATGGCTCACACTTGTCTGTTACTCCAGTTCCAGGGATAAAATTCCTCCTTCTATCTTCTTGGAGGAAGAATACCTGAGTGGTGCACCTCCATTCCTGGTGGAAAATGCTGACACACGTAAAATTTGAAACCAAGTTAGCAGTCATTGGTGCTGTCTTCATAGCTCATAGTGCTTTGCTGGAATACAGGAAGATCTAGATTTTATCCCAGCATATTAAAAAATACCATTGTAAAGAACCAAACTCCAGCCCCTAATACTATGTCAGAGAATATCTAGGGAGAATCATTCAGCATGCCTAAGAAGTGTATGAGGTACTTGAGCTATAATAAATGAAGAGAAAATTGAGTCATGTGTGTACAGATGAATGGAAAGTCCAAGAATGACATATATTAATGGGGAAATTATTAAAAGAGTCTAGATTTTTGTCCACTGCCTTCAATGTGTGTTTAATTGCCCTGAAGTAGAGTATTTCTATTCAAGTATATCCACGTACATATGGGCTTGTTTCAGTGCTAATCATGCTATAATGTTTTCCATAGGATAATCAGTGCCATGCATTTGTGTATTATTTAAAGAAAAATACTGGATCTGGTGAGAGGATCAAGGTTCTTGGTTCCCAGCCTAACCACATGAATTCCGTTCCCATAATTCTAACTATAGAGGAACTCAGATTCCTGAGGTTGTCCTGAACACACACATGCATTCAAACAAATATAATAGACACACATGTATATCAGTTTTAAAAGGTAAGTAGAAATTAATGTGATGTACAGATTAATGTATTCACTGTTTAAATAGGAAATGTTGGTACCATATACATTTTGTATTATTCAAACTACAGCACACATTGTATGCTGCAGGATATTTTCAGAAACCCTAAATACAAAAATATGTATGTACACTTAAAAGTACACAAAAGTTATCATCAGGTGTCTAACAGGCTGTATGGAATGCTGATATCAAAGAAAAACTTTGTTTTCTGAACACACAGACAGAGTTAAAGAGGTTGAAAAGACCCTCAGTTCCAGTGTTCTCTCCCTCCATCTCCTCCCACTCCCCCTCCCACCTTAACCGTCCCCTTCTCGTTCCTTCAAAATATAGGTATGAGGTGTTAGTACATAATATAGTACAATCTTAATGGAAATGTATTGAATGTTCAGTTTTGATTTCAGGTCAAACATACTCTGTGATCTATCTGATTGGGATTTACAGTGATTTCAATAGACTTGCCACCCCAAATAGTATAGAGCATTAAATCTTGAGACCTTCCTAGAAATCCACTACAGTCGGGTAGTCAGCTTGGCTGGACACTCAAGTCCAGTTGCCCAAGTCAGGATGAGGTATGGTGCCCAGGGAATCTGTGAAGGGAATCAGAGAACCAGGTTTTCTGGATCCTAGGTTTGATCTTCTCAAGACCCTGAGTTGGCAGCATTTTTTTTTTCTTTCTACCTAGGACTGGATGATAAGATTTAACCTCCACACCACAAGACCAGGGGTAGACTGCTGCTGGGTGAAGGTGAGACCATAGACTTGATCATTGAGCAGCCATTGATTTCTTCAAAACACCTGATGCTTGAGGAAGGTGGGTGCCTCCAAGCTCCTTCTCCCTTTCTTACCTTCCTGCCCGGATTATAGATTCCATGCAGTTTCCTTCACACATTAGAGATTTTATTCTTGGGGTTTTGGTGGTTGATTCCTATGAAGGTACAGATGGATGTGCTAGTTGTGCCAATACTGAGAAATTCAATGGAAGGTATCCCCTCCTGCAGATGAATCCTCCTTTTAAGGAAAGCTGCCCTAGTTGCTGTACTCTGTCCATGTATTGGAGTTTTTTTCAGACTGTAATGGCGGGGCCAGAGATTGGCAGTCAGAACACTGTCTCTACACTGGGGCAACACTGCCATCATGCGGATAATGTTTCATACTTACCCTCGCACCACTTCCTAAATCCTGCTTCTTGGCAGCCATTTTGAAGCGGAGAGGATTGGGAGATTCCTAAGTGGCGAACCTTCCCCGTTTTACTTTTAATTTTCCTCTTTCTGTAGTCAGACTGCAATCACAGGACCTTTCAGAGTATTAGTGCAGACCCTGCT